ACTACGGCTCAGGTCACAATCTCATGGTTCGTGAGTTTGAGCCCCGCCTCAGGCTTTCTGCTGTCAGCACAAAGCCCGCTTTGGATCCTCTGTCCCCCTCTCTCTCTGACCCTCCTCCACTCATTCTCTCTCTTTCTCACCAAATAAATAAATAAACTTAAAAAAAAAACAAAAAAAAAAACTTAAAGGGTACCTGGGTGGCTCAGTTGGTTGAGCGTTGAACTTCGGCTCAGGTCATGGTCTCACAGTTCGTGGGTTGGAGCCCCACATCGGGCTCTGGAGCCCACTTCGGATTCCGTGTCTCCCTCTCACTCTGCCCCTCCCTGCTCACTGTCTCTCAAAAATAAACAAACATTTAAAAATTTTTTTAAAAACTTAAAAAAATAAAGATCAACTGAATGCCTGCTTCCTTTCTTACACTCTATCTTTTTGAAACTAATTTCTACATAAACACTTAAGGACATAGTGCCATCATCGTGTATCCAGTACAATGCTGCACATAGTAGGCACTCAATAAATATTTATTGAATAAATTAATGAACGAAGGGACTTTTTTTTTAAAAAACCAAGAAGTGTTACTTAGAATATAAATCAGTCAGGATCCTTTTGATGTAATAAACAAAATCAAACACATACTGGTTTATAGTAGAAAGAAGAGGAGGGGAGAAGTCTTACAACTGACTGGCCTAGGATGGGTCTGGTTCAGATTAGTCTTGATCCAGAGCTCAAAGAAAGGCCCGATTCTCAACCTTCACTTCTCAACTCTACCCCCTCAGTGTAGCCTCCATTTTGGGGGAGATTTCTCTTTGGGAAGTACTGGAAACAGAAACCACTATAAGTATGTCAAGCATAAGGATTCAGTGGGAAATGAATGCATATATGTCGGAAAGGCTGGCAGAATGAAAACCAAGAGACTTCCACTGCACCTGCCATCCAGAGCTCAGGACCTTGTCACTGACACTGCTTCTACCATGGCTGCCACCACGGATGCACCATACCCTTGGAGAACTGACAAGGGCACCTGGAGTCATGAGCACAGAAGTTTGCTCATCAGCTCATTCTATCACGTGAGGATGGCCTTCTCCTTCCTTCCGTCTTCCAAATCTTGCACCATGGCTCATCAGTCATTAGCAGAACTCCAGAATTTTAATTCCATAAAAATCTGGCAACGTGATTTTAACTTTCCATACTTTATAATCCAGGAGACAGGGAGACATAGAAAGGAGTGAGATTAGAAGCTAAATAAAAGTGAACAATATCGTGCAGTCCACTGCTTGCACTAATAATCTTTCAAGCAGACAACAGAACTATGTTCCCACCTAATGCACCCATTCCCTTCTTCAAATGAAAACATGCTTATCCGGGGCGCCTGGGTGGCGCAGTCGGTTAAGCGTCCGACTTCAGCTAGGTCACGATCTCGCGGTCCGTGAGTTCGAGCCCCGCGTCAGGCTCTGGGCTGATGGCTCGGAGCCTGGAGCCTGTTTCCGATTCTGTGTCTCCCTCTCTCTCTGCCCCTCCCCCGTTCATGCTGTGTCTCTCTCTGTCCCAAAAAT